AAAAAGTGTACCTGGCAGGATGGAAATCCACGCTGTTCTTTTGACGCTGCTACAAACTGTGCAATGCTAACCCCTTTAGCTGGATCTTAAATGCAGACTATGACTCACCACTTGTGGAACACCTCTGAAATTAATATACACAAAACATGTCTACTAATATCTAAACATACCATATAAACTGAGGCCAGGACATTTCATCCCACCAACTACCAATACCACTACACCATTACCAGTTATGGAAAATGACCCATTACTTCAGTTGGAGTCACGTAAAAAGAATATGATAGAAAAGCTAGATTTCAGTTATAATTGTCAGGGTAACCAAAGATACATTTCAGGAGATAGGTAAGACAAAAATATCTTTAAAGACTCAGAAAATTATTTATCTGAAAGCAATTTAAGATGCTGAAAACTAACTTCAGGCCATCTGACATTTTAGTACCAAACCAAGGTACCGTCCAGGCTCCCACTTTATGACAAGCAGAGAGACAAAGCCACCTCCAGAGAGCAAGTCAGCCCAACCAACAGGGCCCCTCAGAAGTCTCTCAGAGGGCAATACAGTGTCACATCTCAGGCAGCTAGATACTTAACCTGTGTCACTGATGTTAGGAAAACATGTATTACATCCTAAATCCTTAACAACCTACATACACCGGCCTGCATATACATTGAGTTTGCTCAATTTGCTAGACAAGTATTGAACTTCAAGTTAAATGGTTCCTTAAATGTTCCAAGCTCTCTTTTCACTGCAAAACCACATGTTCTCCAAATGTTAGAAATTTAAAGGTTAAATAGCTGAAGAAAAACAAGGGATGAAAAAAAGCAGGGGCAGGGGTCTGCAGACACAATATGAAAAAATAAATCTTACTAAATCTCAGCAAATTTGAAAGAAAATGGTTAAGCAGCTTAGGGAGCATGGCTAAATTCCACTGATTAGGAATGACACTGATGTTTGAGAATTGCTTCCTTTGGGCCACCTGCCATGATGACTGGCTTAGAAAGGTTTACATCACAAATGAGTTTGGTAATTACTTGGATTGGCTAGCATAACATGAAGCAAACACAAGGTTAAACCGACAAAACAATTGGAGTGGAATGGAGAATATGCTTGGTTTAGAAACAAAAGACAAAATTTCCATGTTGCTCCAGATGTTCTTCTGTTTTACAGAACAGATGAATAGTAAAATAAATAAATAAAGTAAAACCTAATTTGTCACCTCAGTGGGAAAAAAAAAGTTTTCTAAGAAAAAGCAAGGATAGACTAAAATGGTACTTTTGAAATTAATTTTCTCCTGGGGATATTTGTCAGTAGTAAGGTAAGAGTCTCCCAACGCTTGAGTTTGCCTACTTTTCATTAGAGCTAGTTACCTTGGTTTGAACCATTTAATATCTTCCCTGTGAAACTGTAAATGTTTAGAGACTCACAAAAGGCCAAAATCTGAATCTGCTGCTTAGTAACAATAGTGTTCCAACAGTTGCTTAATAATGAAAATGACATTGAAATAACACGGTTGATGCCAGAGGATACCACAGGATATTTGGCAAACAGTATAGAAGTATTAATTTGTCCCACAGAGTCACCGGTGACAGCTTAATAGCACTCCATTGTGTAACTCCTCAAAAAACTACATACTAGTTGAAGTGAAAATTTTGTCTCAGAATGATGCCTTTTGCAAGCAGCTAAAGCTGAAAAGTCAGGCAGTTCTTTTAATATAACACAAACGTAGGCATGTTGTTTTTCCCTAGAGCAGATACCAGCCTACTGTCCATGTTAGCAGAGTCAGCCTTGTTATCCCCCCGCAAATCTTCACTGGAGGTCCTTTCCTCTACACTTCTGGCCCTCCTGGAGCCACCAGCCATGCTGTCTTTCCCCAATAGTGACGTGAAGAACAGGGGTGAGTGAAATGGAAAGTGAAGAGGATCTCTCACGTGGTTGCTGCCATGCAGCAATACATTAAGGGACTGAAGTTCTCCATATCCTGCAAAAATTAAGGTTTTTTCCGACTCCAAGGATGAAGCCCAGCCCCTCTTGACTCCTATGCAGGTCTTCTATACCAAGAGTGAAATGGAACAAACGGTAAAGGAGAAAGAAAAGAACTGAGGTGAGTGCCAAAGAGGATAATTCAAAATAGGAAAAGGACAAGAAAAATGCCTGATCAGTAACCGTAAAATCCTCAGGCTTTCCAAGTATTTGGTTATAAAACTTAGGTCAAAAACTATCAAATGTTAAAGTTGTGAGAAAATTTCTAAATCTGAAAAAAAAAAAAAAACACACAAAAATTCTCACCAGAAAAATTATCTTTAGGGCAATTATAAAAGCTTTTCTCAACTTATTTTCAAAACTTCTAGTTTTAGAAGTTTGAAAATCATGGCATGTAGAATTATTTAAGCAGCAATTTTTTTTTCCTGGAAATGTAAGGGCAGAGTCCTAAAAGATGACGTTCAAATATGTCTACTACATGTACATGCTGCAGAAGAAAGGGAAAACACTCTTTATTCTGCCCTGAAAATAAATACAAACTCAACTTGGACCAAAGCTCATTGAGGTTCAATAATCCAACCCAGTGTCCTTCCTGAACAAAAAATCCTGATCCTTCCTTTTATTTTGTATGTGTAGAAGTAATGCTTTTTCCAGTGTTCCCAAAAAGAAAACAGAAAGCCATTCCAGTCATATGCTGCCTGTAGTCTGGAGCAAAAGGAAGCTAAACATAGTTATTATTCAAGGTTCTTTATAGCTTTAAAGGAACTATAGATAAGAAGTAGCTTACTGTTTAATGCTCTACATGCAAACTTACTTTATCATCAATAATATACTTCCCTTCTCCATTTTGTATTGACCAAAAGATTCTTCTTTCCATGTTTTTGTTCTAATGTTCACGTTTTCCAAAATGAGTTGACTTTGTAAAGACAGAGAAAATAAAGGCAAAGATATCCAGATGCCTTGCTGGTCTCCAGAGTGATAAACAGAAAAAATCATTGTATTTAATCTGCATTAAGTATTTCTGTCCACCTACAGGGTTATTAATAATTAACCTTGCATGTCAACTCCTGTTCTATGGACTGCTGATTTTGTAAATTCATGTTCACATTGAAAGGATTAAAAGCATAGTTTAGCAGATTACAGTGCATTATCAGAGTGGGCAATTACTTTCGTCTGATTCAATCATAATTCTTACTCCTGTTACAAGTATACAAAATAACAGCTCAAGAAGAACAGGGCTGAAAACTTTTTTCTAGTGCACCCAACACTTTTAAACACAACCAACAAAAATAGATGTTTGAAAGCTGGGTATATGGGAGGCTGAAGATACCCGTATTCCATCCTCATAAGTGTATGCTTATATAGTCCCCTTTTTATATCATTCATAGGCAGCTGTGGACACAGCACTCATAAAAAGATTCAGTCTACTATAAATGGGATCTCATGAATTAATGCATCTACTACACAACAACGTAAACCACAGAAGAAACAGAAGAAAATAAAATCTGTTGCTTGGCTGACTGCTGCTGCATGTTTAAGACTGAATTCAGAGAAGATATTCCTGACCCATGAAACACCCTCACGAATATATCGCTATCATTAATTCTCTAAGCCCTGTATGAGGATAACCCTACAACCACATGAGTAAAACTGTTATGTCATTGTATGATAGCAGAAACTCAGAAAATTCCAGGAAAGTATCCCTAGGGCATCAGTGTCAAGACAGAAGCTTGCAAAAGCAATTGGTTACAGAGGCTGGAGCCTTGTCAATACCGCCAGACTGAATTTTGGCATACGGAAATTTTCTTCAAATCACTAACTCTCTCATCCCTCACAGAAGGATTAACAGCAAAGGAAAATTAGATCAGCCTTATGTAACTTCAGTCCATGCTATGTCCACTCTAGAGGAAATCAGAAATCTGTACCCAGCAGATTCTCTAGTACTCCAAGCATGCCTCAGAAACATTGTCCTTTGTCTTCCACACCAAGCCTTAGTAAATGCCATCAGTTCACTTTCCTCAGCATATTTATTTCCTGCAGTGAGCTACCTGCCCAGCAACAACTTCTCCACTTATGAATCTTTCTAGTGTTAAGGAAAATCTCCAGTGAGAGAAACTACAACACCAGTGTTTCCAAGTAGAGATAACTGCTATACTTCACACCACTATAGCTACATTCATAATGCAAACCAGAAAGGGCCAAGGCACAGGCCTGAGCAGCATCCACCATCATCCATGATAAATGGCTGGCATGCTTTTGTCTCAGGTGAACTGGACTTTCCTAGATAATGCCCGAGAACAGTTTTGGGAACACAGCCAAAAGACTGTTCCCCATATGCAACTTGATTGCACCCAGCCTGCTCTTAGCCATGAAGACAAACCACGCCATGCCAGTTGACCAGAGGGGCTGAGGACGGTCTCTAGCCATCCTCTTTACTAGGTAGGGCAGACAGCTACCTTTCCTTCATACCTTGCCTCACTGTTCACATTACATGCATTAGAAATAGGTCCTAGCCAAAAAAACTCATATTCTGAATACATAGTCCAAAGCTCAATACCTTGTAATATACAGCTAAGCCATGTGATATACAGCACAAGCTCCTTTAAGAGGCTAAAACAGTTAAAGAAAAGAGCAAGTGATCTGCTGACAGCCAGTGAATTTAACCTTTCAATGCCAGTGGTGGGAGTTGACTGTTGCAGCGGAAGAACAGGAGCTTGGTTCCAGCTTTTTGTCACAAACCACCCTCATTCCCTCTGTTAGGGCAGATACTTATCATATTTTAAAACAATGACCAGAATAATATAAACAAAGGTTTAAAATTTAATTTATCAACAAAGCCAGAAACAGCTGTAGGACACATGCACCTGGTACAGAAGGGGGTTAAAGAACACCTAATATTTGCATTAAAAATGAGCATTTGTGCTGAATAGTATTTTTGCCTCATGGTCAGCTTCAGCAACTGTAACCTGAGACGCTGCAATATTACATATGCTCAGTCAGGAATTCATTCAATACTTACTGGAGGTCCCCGGGGTCCTGTTGGACCTGCTTCTCCCTCTGGCCCCCGCTCACCCTGGTTTGGGGATAGGAAGAATGCAACAAATATGAAAAGTGATTTTTTGCATAATGCAAAACCTTTCATCTTGCTAGATCTTTTGAACAACACTAACGATCTTACCGTTTTACCAGAATTTCCCATCAAACCTGGCACCCCAGGGGGACCTCTATTACCCTGTTAGACAAAAGATGAAAAATATTAGCCAAGCCAATGGTTTACTGTTTCATTTTAAAACAAAAAAAATAAGGAAATCAATAAGGTCTGGGGGGAAAAAAAAAAAAAAAAAAAAATCAGCCCATATTATTTCTTGACTTCTACCTTTATTTTGGTTTTCCTTTAACTTTCACCTAACTCCTTCTATATAATTTTTCAAAAGTCAGATTTCAGTTCTTTTGTTGTTTACGTACTGACAATAGACCTGATTGCTGCTTTCAAATCACAGAAGGATAATAGCATTCCATGTAATTTCAGAAGAAATTCATGTCTCAATCTAGTTTTCTTTTTCAGTTACTTAAAACTAAACTCAAACATTATTGTCTGAAACATTCCGTAGTCTCAATCATACAATACTTTTTTTAATTTAATTGGAATTGATGTTGCAATTTGGTGGTACGTAAATAGAGATGACAATATCTGTAATTCAATCAACTTAGTGCAGCTATAAATATTATTCTTATTCCAAGATCCCTCATTTCAAACTACAGTGAGCTACCAATGTCACATGCCTCCTCCAGCATTGACTTCCACAAATTTAAAAGGAAATGGCCTTTTTTAGATATTACCTTATGCCTGGAATCATGAAAACCACATCATTCAGCAAAAGAATCACAAAAAAGCACAGGACTACAGTTGATAAAATATATTTAATTCTTTCATCCAAAGGCTTGTCTCTTACCGCAATGGAAAGCTAATATAATTTTGCTGAATCCTTTAGGACTTGACGAGCACAAATACAGTATTATACGAAAGTCAATGCTCCAGATGATTTACCTTTGGTCCAGGA